ATGATAAAAAATATGAAGATGATTATTATAAAATACAAGAAAGAAATTATATTAATGATTGAAATTAAATGTATAATAATATAATGAAATATTTGAAAATTTGAAATATTTTTAAAAATTATGAATTTAATTATTGTTTTAATTTTTTTAATTTTATTTGTAAAATATTAAGTTTGCATTTTGTATTTGAGTATTAATAAAATTTTATATTATATAAATAATATAATATTCAGATACAATTAATCAAGAGTATTTTTTTAAAAGGATACTTTATAAAGTAGTAGCTGACAATATGAAAATACTTACTTAGTAAAATCTTCACTATATTATATTCTAAGAAATAGTTTCAGAAACTATTATTAAACTCAAAGTATAAGTGTAACAAAAGGGACTAACTATATATTAACTCAAATTTTGAGCGAACAGATAAATAAATATTTTTATTATAATTGCTTATACATAAATAGTCTTTTACTTACGCTATAGACTAATTATATAAAGATCTATTTCTTGATATATAATTATATATTAAATGTTTTATATCTCTTTCATATTCTTAGATTATTTATATTTTATAATCATTAAAAATAAGATAATAGTTTAATATAAAAGTAACTTAAAAAATCTTTTATCTAAATATTTTTCTACTATAATACTTTATAAATAAAGCTTTGATTAATTATTTTTTTTTTATTTTTTTGTTTATAGATAATAATATTATCTTTTAGATAATTTTTAATTTTCTTAATTGTTATTATTGTTAAAAAAGTTTTCTTAAAAATCATAAACAATAATATTTATCAAATTTTTTTTTAAATAGATTATCTTAAATATCTAAATTAATAATATTATTCAATATAGTTATCAAAAAAAGTTACACATTGCGTAATTATAATACAAATTTTTTATAAATTTTATTATTTCTAAAAAATTATTTTATTATTTAACAATTTATATAATATTTGTTATATAATATTTATTTATATTATTTATATATTACATTATACTATGATTCTTTATTTTATTTTTAATTTTATATTTTAATTATTATATTTAAAGAACAAAAACCTATGAAAATTATATAATAAAATTAATAAAGAAATTAAGATAACAAATTAAAACAAATAAGATGTAAAATGTAAAAGTTACTTAATTTAAAAAAAATCAAATATTTAGTAGCAATTTTTAAAATTTGAATCATGTTTTTCAACTTAATATTTCAAATATTCAGATTTTGAAATTTTTGTAGGTGAGTGCTTAACTTCTTCAAACTAAAAGAACTAAGAACCTAAAAAAAAAAAATAAATAAGGTTAAAAAAATAAAATAAGTAAAAAATATAAATATTAAATAGAAAATTTTTTTGAGCTAAAAGTATTAAAAACAATTACTTTACTATCTTTAATACATATTAAACGAACTGTAAAACAAAAATAAATAAATAAATAAGAAATGAATAAAAAAGTTCTTCTTTTCAATATTTAAATTGAAAGAGATTTCCTTCTAATATATAAAAATATTTTACTTTTATATTAAACCTGTTCAATTTTAGTTGATGCATAAATGCCACTAGGATTTCACTCTAAACTAGCCAATCAAAATCCCGATTTTGTCTAAAAATTTTGGGGGTATCTCAAAAATTTGGGGTTAGAGTATAGGTGCGCGGATTTGCCCGTTCAGAAGTGATTCCATCATCACGTGGAATTGTAAAGTTACTTAGAACCTGGATATCGCCTTAGAAATTTTCTTATACTCGATCATTTTGCTTTTCTTCAAAATATTCAATTATGGGCAAAGGAACGGATAAAATGTAAGTTCCTTTGTAAGCGTTGTTGAAATCTATTTAATTGGTTCGTTCTTACATGAATTTGATGTTTCATTATTGATTAGGTACATTACGCATTCCGGTAAAATTATACTTTTGTTATTTTATAGGTTTCTTTAAATGGATAAGATACATATTTTAATTTTTCAATATAGAATGGTCTGGAGAATTTGGAGGGATGCAGTTTGGAGGAATCCAGACTAGAAAGAAAACCGAGGTTTTTAAAAGACTTCCATTCTATTGTTGCTCACTTTCATTGCAGCCTTTCGAGCATCCCGTATGCACTACTGATGGTATCATCTTTGATCTAAGGTTTGAGGCAGGATTCATTTAACTAGGCTGTTATTATAAAATTAATCGAGTACTTTTGTTTATACATTAATTATTGATTTTTTTTTTAACAGGCATATACGTCTTTATTTAAAAAAATTTGGAACGAATCCTGTAACTGGTGAAAAGTTAGATGTGAATTCACTAATTAGTCTCAATTTTTTTAAAAATCCTGAAGGTATGTGACTCAAAATATTAAACATGCATAAACAATATCTTATTTCCATATAATTTATCGTAGGTGAATATCATTGTCCGGTAACCTTTAAAGTATTCAGTGATCATACACATATTGTTGCTATAAAGACTACGGGTAATGTTTTTTCATATGAGGCGGTTGATCGACTGAATATTAAAACTAGACATTGGAAGGATTTACTATCTGACGAACCATTTACACGAAAAGATATAATAACTATACAGGTAATTTTGCTCGCCTTTGTATTTGATATTAAGAATGCAGGTCTTTATATGCTAATTATTATTTAGGATCCTCATAACCTTGAAGTTCGTAATTTATCAAATTTCTATTATCTTAAACACAATTTGAAGCTAAAAGATGGTATGCAAATTTTATAAGACGATAAAACTCGATTCATTTGTAAAAAAGTTAATTTGGCTAATTTTTTTTTTCTTAGACGAATCAAGCGATCCTTTAAGTAATATAAATTTAAGTGCTACGGGTTCAGCAGAACGTGTTCTCACGAAGATTTCTGCCAAGGTATAAATATATGCACTATATCATTTCAAATTAAAGTGACACCTGTAGTCTTACTATTCACTTTTAAACTTTAGCAAGATGAATCGGCACAGAAATCTCATGATGCAACCGCTGATGATAAACCTCTGAAGAAAGCTTCGTCTTCAACACCTACCGTAAAAAAATCAAAAAATATTCCATATAATGCAGCATCATATTCACGTGGATTAGCAGCTGCATCGTTTACTTCTACTGCGATGACACCGGTGACTGAAAATGAAAATGCACTTGTTGACGAAGAAGAATTCATGTTTAAAGAAATTAAAGAAAAAGGCTACGCACGAATCGTAACTAATCTTGGAAACTTGAATATCGAATTATTTTGTGATAAGGTATGAGACGAGAATTTTAGTGGATTTACGAATCTATTTGGTAATTTGTATTTATATATAAAAAAAAAATGTTTTTTTAAGGCACCAAGAACTTGTTATAATTTTATAATGTTATCAAAACAAGGATATTATAATAGGTAATATTTGTAATATTATACATTTCAAAATCTATAAGCTAACTTTATTCATTAATTTACAAGGACAATCTTTCATCGTAAGATCAAAAACTTTATGGTATTTATTAGTAAATTTTTTTTTTCTTCTTACATTTTGGATAATTGAACAATAATAATTATTAATTTGTTTAGATTCAAGGTGGTGATCCTACAGGTACAGGGAAAGGAGGTGAATCATATTGGAAAAAGGATTTCGAAGATGAACTCAAACGTAATCTTTCACATAATGAACGTGGGCTCATGAGTATGGCAAACAAGGGAAAAAATACAAATTCATCACAATTGTATGTATAATGCCTTAGTTCGTTTTTTACATTTTAATTTTAAAAGATCTTTCTTTTCATGATTCTCTTGTAAAATATATTTTAGTTTTTTTACTTTTCGCCCGTGTACTCACCTAGACAACAAACATACAATTTTTGGTAAAATTGTTGGAGGAAAAGAGATTCTAGATAAGATGGAACTAGTACCCACTGATGAATCCGATCGACCTTTACAGGAAATTAAAATTATTGAAGTAATAACTTTTATAAATCCGTATGAGGACTACAAGAAGAAGTTAGAAAAGAAATTAAGTCGACAAAATGAAATTGTGGAAAGAAAGCCGCGAGACAAGACCGAAAAGGTTTGACTAGATTAATTCAATATAAATATATATTTATAAAGTTTTTATATTTATAATTTTTATGTATCAGGATACAACTACATGGTTTGGTACGAAATTGACTTCAACCGGTACAAAAGAAAGGAATAGCAATATATCTGGTGATGTAGGAAAATATTTAAAATCAACATCGTCATCTGCGATACCTAAAAAGCGAGAATTGGATAATGAAGATTTTGATTCAGAGCCAGTTCCTGAAATCAAAAAGAAATCAAAGGCTACAGGTTATAATTTTGGTAACTTTAGTAATTGGTAATAATAAATTTTATAGTTTGAATTTAATAATGATTGACGATTCTTGTGAATAACCTGTGCGCGTTCGCTGTGGTTTGATGAACCTGTTTAATGAGAATATTTTATATTAACAAATCATTTTTTTTTTTGATAAATAATGATAATAATAAAATTACTTCCCACTTCTTCAAACGAGATTTGTTTTATTTTGGAAATTTCCGATGCACTTATGATAATGCTATTCGGCTCATTGTCAACTCCTTTTTCAGGACCTAATGCAGGAGAATCTGTTTCAAGTAAAAGGTTTGATAGTGGAATTTCTGCCACCAATCTTTGTTTTTGAGGTGACCGAATTATTGAAGGTGGTATTGAGAAAAAAAATCTGAACAAGAGAAAATTATATTTGTAATGTTAATTTATCAATATTGTGTATATATAATAGAAAAAGAACGCGTAATCAATACCCCATTTCGACTCCTTTTTTTGCATATTTTACTTGACCATCGAAAGCATGCATTACTACTTTTCTTGCACCATAATCTCGTAAGCAATCTAAGGCATAGTGTCCAGCACTACGCGAATGAACATTTAGGGGAAGGTCGAATTGAAGAGAAAGTGCAATTTGTTGCGCAAAAACTTGACGTTGTATTTTTTTTAATTCTTCTGTGCTTAGATTCAGATTAGGGTTTGAATCAATCGCATTCTGTAAAACATGGGGAGTAAAGTCCAACCCAACTAAATAAAGAAAAAAAAAAAATGAGAACTGATCCTAATAATAGCATGACTTACATTAAAATATCAATTTCTTAGTAATACCTTCACCAATTCCGATTAATTCGGCTGAATTTTTCCGAATGAATTCAAGCATACTGTTAGCTTGATCAGTACTTATTAAACTCATAGTCCCTACAGGCTGTACAGGGTGCAAACCCGCACAGGGTTCAATAATTTCTCTTAATGAATCTGATAATGACGCATCATTTTTCAATTCCAATATTTTTTTAGCGTCTTCAACAGTTTCTGATACATTAACTATCGACTTTACGTTCGCAGCTTTTGCACGTAAAAGGATTTCCTCAATTGGTGTATTTGGAAACGAAGAAGGATAAAGGTGAGCATGAACGTCTATTAAATATTGAGACATGATAGATGATGGACTTTTTATTTCAGATCTACGTACCGATATCACGGTTCTGGGGGGTTTTTTTTTATCAATTTCGGGTATCATTCTAGAAACTACCTATTACGTTGTCGTTGATATAACTAACCCTCCTCCATTAATTTTACGCGTTTGATCAGTTCGAATACTTTTTATAGATCTAAAATTTATACAATATGCCTCCAAAGGAAGATTGGGAAAAATGTAACTTGGGCAATAAATATTTTTGTATTATATATATATATATATATTTTTTTTTGTCATTTTGATGTAAACATTTAATATCTATATATAAAGCTAAGGTCGGCGAAGAAAACGATGAGAAGATTACCGGTATGTTTATTAATCTTTTTTTTCTCACAAAGTTTGCTTACTCAATCTACCTCTTATATGCAATAGCACTCGATGAAGGGGATATTGCACTTTTGAAAACTTATGTAAGTTGTAGTTGAAATTCTGGGCAGTTTTATTATTATTTATTATATATTTTTCAGCTTATAACTCTCGTTACCCTTGAAAGGGTCAAGGTCCTTATGCAAAGGAACTGAAAAAAACAGACAACGATATTAAGGACGTTCAAAAACGAATAAACGAAAAAATAGGTACTATACATTTATATGGTTATTTAATGTGCATAAGTATTCTCAAAATTTTTTTTTTTTTAAAATTTTTCAAAAAAAAGGTGTCAAGGAATCAGATACTGGTCTTGCTCCGCCGAATCTTTGGGATATCCCTGCCGATAAACAAAGAATGCAAGAAGAACAACCTTTACAGGTAAATTATAACATAATTAACTAGTTGACATATCAACTTTAAGTTGCTCATATATGAAGTTTTTCATTTGCATCTTAAGGTAGCCCGATGTACTAAAATCATTCAAGCCGATGGTGAAGAAGCCAAATATATTATCAACGTAAAGCAAATTGCAAAGTTCGTTGTTGCATTAGGTGAACGTGTATCACCAACAGATATTGAAGAAGGAATGCGTGTCGGGTAAGTTCAAATAGTTTAATTAACTCATATTTATGGTAGAGATGAAACTGGCTAAATATTTATATAATATATACACACTATAGTGTGGATCGAAACAAATATCAGATTCAAATTCCATTACCACCAAAGATCGATCCTTCCGTGACAATGATGCAGGTAGAGGAAAAACCCGATGTTACATATAGCGATATCGGGGGATGCAAAGAGCAAATTGAGAAATTAAGGGAGGTCGTCGAGTTACCTTTACTTCAGGTATGTTAAATTTATCTCTTTATAAGTTATTTTTCAAATTTTAAATAAATATTTTACTTATAAAGAGTATTTTATACCTTAGCCTGAACGATTCGTAAATTTAGGTATCGACCCTCCTAAAGGAGTTTTACTTTATGGTCCTCCGGGAACCGGTAAAACTTTATGTGCTCGTGCAGTAGCAAATCGAACAGACGCAACGTTTATTCGTGTTATTGGATCCGAACTTGTACAAAAGTAATTATATATTTTGTTTTACTAACAATTTTTATAAAAATTTATATATTGGTAACATTTTGCTTTAATAGGTATGTTGGTGAAGGAGCACGTATGGTTCGTGAATTATTTGAAATGGCACGAACCAAAAAAGCCTGTATCATATTTTTTGATGAAGTAGATGCTATCGGAGGTATAACTTAATAAAATTCCTTCATTCGATCATTTGGTCATTTAAAATATGTATTAACTACTTGCGATAAATAGGTGCACGTTATGATGACGGTGCTGGAGGTGATAACGAGGTTCAAAGAACTATGTTGGAACTGATCAATCAGTTAGATGGTTTTGATCCACGAGGAAATATTAAAGTTCTGATGGCAACGAATCGGTAGATAATCAATTTTATGAATAGTTCTTTATTAAGCAATTATAGAAAAAAAAATAGTAAAACCCTTTATCAACAGTCCTGATACTCTGGATCCAGCATTATTACGTCCAGGTCGTTTAGACCGTAAAGTAGAATTTTCATTGCCTGATTTAGAGGTATATATGAACTTTATATCTGAACACTTCATTAATGTTATAAGGCTAAAGCATTTATTATACAATTTTATAGGGTCGTTCGCATATTTTAAAGATTCATGCTAAAAGGTAAACTGAAAATACAAATCAATTATGATTGTGGTTATTAAAAACTTTGTTGATAAATTTTCATGTTATATTATTAGCATGTCGGTGGAGCGTGATATTCGATATGAATTGATAGGACGTCTTTGTCCAAATAGTACTGGTATGTTAAAAAAAAAAAAATTTGAATATTAAATTAAATAGTGGTTATTTATTTGGTATCCCATTTTGTGACATAATATTACCTTTAAATGATAGGTGCTGAATTACGTAGCGTATGTACAGAAGCCGGAATGTTTGCAATTAGATCTAGAAGAAAGGTAATCCATAATTAATGTTTTGAAATAAATCTCTTGTCTTACATGTGATATAACTTGATTTAATATTCTGTAGGTTGCTACAGAAAAAGATTTCCTGGAAGCTGTTAATAAAGTTATCAAGGTAATTTTAGTAATTTTTTGGATTAAATCTTACTTTGTTATGTTTGCTTATTCCGTTCATTAATTTTATAGTCGTACGCAAAATTCTCGTCTACTCCAAGGTATTATTTTGTTTTCAAACCTGCAATTTTTATAACGCGTATCGTTTTCGACTATGATTAAATTATCTTTTTTATTTTTATAGATATATGACTTACAATTAATAAAAATTTTACATTCATTGTACACTTTTTTTTTCAATAATATTTATTAAATGCGCAATGCACTTTAAATTTATGATTATATTTTGTGTTTTGAATAACAAAAAAAAAGATGTGCGAACCGTGATTACATAATAATTTTATTGGTTTCATGCTACTTTGTTTCCATTTTTTTTTTAATTGTATAAAAAAATAATTGAGGTCCCGGTGTGATAAATTAAAGTACTTTTATCCGGTTAGCGATGAATGTCTGATAAATTTAACCGTCATATTGAAATGAAATGTTATTATAACATAAAGATCAAATGGATGTGACGGTATGTATGCTAACGAAAATTTAGGAGGCGCAAAGTTAATCAACTAATCAACCAAATGCCTTGAATGACTCGAGATACATTTTATGATCAACCAAACACCTACAGTTTCACGATTTCTATTCGATCCAAATGTAAAGCAAAACAGATCGAGTCATAGGATTGATCAAACCGTTTTAAAGGTCCATTTAATAACAACTGTGCTCTTCGACAAAAGACTGATGCATCAAGTGAAGGAGAATCATCATCACATAAAAAAACGTAAAGGTGTTAAACTGAAGCACGCGAAAAGAAAGGTTATCATTAATTCGGATGATTCAGATGAAGCAGAACAGCCCACTATCACTTTTACTAATACTATTGGTAAGAACAATCAAAACTAGAAAATGTCCTAATATTGCTTCACGTAATACAGAAAAAGTATATCAAGTGGGATGATGAACCCAAAAAATCCAAGATGATCGGCAGAGGTGCTCGAACCAAATCAAAAACAATTCTGCGTTAAATTGTTCTGCAACTTCAAGGGCATTATCTATCACGCAAACAAGTATCAATCGTCATAAAAGTATTAGCAGGTCAGGTTCAAAAAAAGAAACACAAAGGATTCTTCTGATAAATAACCTGATTGATAAGAATTGACAATATATATATTTTTTGATGAAATTTTTTAATCGTAAATTATTAAAAAAGGAAAATATTTAAAAAAAAAAATTTATTGTTATTTTAATTATTTATTAAATCAGAAGTTTATACGTCTATTGGAGATCGACATCTGATAATTTCTTTTTAATGATACAAATAACTGTAGAATTAAAAATAAATAAATAAAACAAGAAAAGGTATTGTTTATACTCATGGATCAGGATGTTAAATTGCTTCAACAAAGCATATTTAAACTGAGTATAAGTACAAGCTTTTTTCAACTAACTTTAATATTCTTTTAAACGTGCTTTGAGCTTGCTTAACACGTTTGTTAATTTGAGCTTAAAAAGTATATATAGCGCGTTTTATCAAAATAGCGAAAAAATTTCCCTTTTTTTTTCATTGATTGGTGGTTTTTGTTCAAAAATTCCTTCGTGGAATAACATATATTGAAGTCAATAACGTTAATCTGTCCTTTTGGATTGAATCTTATCGAAGTCGAAAAATTAACTATTTTCTCAAAAAAGCTCCCTACTCAGATATATTTAATATACTTTGGTGCTAATTAATTTTGATGATGTCAAAATTATTTACGTCTATTCGATAAATTTTTAATAAAATAATTACATCTGTCAAAATACAATTTAATTAGTAATTCATCAATTTGTTCTGAAGTATAATATTTAATACTATTTTACCCAAGCTTGATCCCTTTTAATGATTAAGTGTATGGATCTCATCACTCTTCAAAGCTCTTTCTGCTAAAAGTGGATATTTCCAAAGAGTAAACTCTATAAATGTCCTTTTTCACAGTTATACAAGTGTTTTCTCAATAAAGAGATAAAATCTTATAATGGGAAAAATATTTTGATAAAAAGTTGTTGAGAATTTGTAATAAAAAAAAAATTTTAATAAATAGTCTGTTAAAGATTGAGATCAAAATAAAAAAGATAAAAAAAGAAAAAAAAAAAAGACAATATAATAGGAAAAAGATAATAAAATGATAATATAAAATCCACTCATTTGAAAAATAAATGAATATCAAATAGTTAAATCTGAAATCATTTTGCTTCTAAACAATTTTTTTTTAAAAAAAAATATGTTTAGTTTTTAACAAAAATATTTATATAACTTTTATGTTAGTTCATATATAAAGATAGGCATCGCAATTAAAAAAAAATGGTATAATTGAGTTGCAACTTATGGCACAATTAAATTTTCTAATATCACAATTAAGTTGCAACTCAATTAAAATTAAAAAATAATTATGGAAATCATCTTTATTTATATAGATAAACATTTTGATAGTAGAAACAAGATATACTAGCAAGATTTTAATACTTATCACATAAAAATTAAATTTTAACATTTTCACAAAAGAAATTTAAATAAAATGAAAATGATAACAAAAGAAAATAAGTTATACAATAAGAAAGTTTGAGATATATATACTTGTATTAGACATTGCTTATAATATAAATGTTTCTAAGATTGTAAGATTCTAATTTTTAATTAGTCTATTTATCATTATGTATTTATCAAACCTAAAATCACATAAATTTTTTCATAAAGTTTAAAAGAAAATTGCCTTTTCTTAAAATTACGTATCCATTTCAATTTGAAATGTAGACTATTTTGCAGATTCAGTTTTACTTTATCTGTTTATTTCTTATAATATTAAATACAATTCATAATAGTAAAAAAGTTAAAAAATGGTTTAAATATTATAAATTATATAAATTAATTTTTGATAAAAATTTTTTATATTATTTATAATAGATAAAAAAAGAAAATGATTAGTTTACATAAATTTTATCAAGTATAAATAAAATTAAGAAGCATAAGATTAATATAATAATTATTATAGTTAATATAATTAATATATTATAATAATTAATATAAAACTAAGTAATAGGAACTATTTACAAGTCTAAAATATTAAAAATATAGCCTATTTCAAATTCACGTGATAAAGTAATCTATAATAAAATGGTAATAAAACAAATACGTACTAATAAACATCAACTCAAACTAAGAGCAGAATAATAGACAGATATTTTATATTATTACATCTAAACTGTAAATAGTCCTATGTTATGCTCTAGACTAATTATTATAAATATAATATAAGTATAATATTGATTTATTTAATATATATAAATTTCTAATTATAAATATAAGTTTATACAAATTTATATAAATTATTTTAAGATTTGTAACTTTTTAAAATTTTATATAAAATCATATTTATAAATATTAATAAATTTTTAATCTAAAATTAATCATATAAGTCAGTATTATATTTTAATATCTGCTGCTTTTTTGACTGTTTTAAATATATTCATACTTTGTCTGTATTCTTCTGCAACTTATAAAATTTTACAAAAAAGGTGTGTATTTAATGTGTAATTAGATGTTAAATATTTTGCTAATTATTAAAACAGGTTATCATATAAAATTTTGAAGAATTAGCACTTTTTTCTCATATTATCTGTCTCAGATATTGTCCTGTGATAATAAAGATATAAGTTATTTTACTTTGAAATAATATTATAATTTTTAGTTTATAAAAAATAAAATATTTAATTATATATCTTTTATAAATATATTAGTTATATTTATAATCTTATTTTTGATACAATAATTATTGTTATATATAATAATAAATATAATTATACATATTATAAATTATATAAAAAGTGAAAGTAAAAAGAAATTATTATTTATACTTTTGATTTTTAATATTTATAAAATAATTTGGATTATAATTAATTTATTTGATTATTATTTTATTTAGATATATATTATAAAGTAGTTGTATTTAATGAAAATATTATTTAAATTCAAAATTTAATGAAGAATATAAAATGTTAAAATTATATTAGATCTTATATAATTTAATTAAATAATATATTTTTTATTAATATTTACTATAATATTTTATTACTAATATATATTTATAACTATAAAACATATATAAAAAATGCTTGCTATTTTAGATAAAAAATTTAATTTAGTAATACATATATTTTTTCAATTAAATAATCTGTTTAAATAACAAAATTAATAAGATAAATGCAATAAGATATTGGTTTTTTGGTTTATTAAAGAACAATTATTTATTATATAAAATATTCAGGTTCAATTTATCAGAATGTAATCGTTTGACTATCAACTAGCTTTCAAGTATATTTATTTGATTAACTAAACATTAATTGTGTACGAAAACTTCGATCTCCAAAATCTACTCTACTATTCAAAAGAATTCTTTATTTTCATGATCTATCTACTTATGACTATTGAGAAATTGAGAAATAAAGAATGATTTCAGAATGCCAATCCACCCTAAGAATTAATAATAAAATTTATTTAAAAAAAAAATATTCAATATACAAAAAATTTAAATATAATATTACATAAAAAAAGAAAAAAATTTCAAGGCAAAAATAATTTATTAAAATTAATTTAAAGTCCCAAATAGAAATAGTTCTATAAAATTATTCTTGATCATCAGGAGATAAGCCATCGTCAACTATAAAAAAAACATGAAATTAATTAAATAAATCAAATAACGATTTAAAAATTAAAATTTAAATTCCTACTTTTTCTTCTATAAATTGTAATTTCTTGTTGTTTAAAATATCGTCGATTTTCTTCATCAACGAGTACAAGATTAAGATAATAACGTGTGGAAAACTTTTTGTTAACATCACGGAATGTTGGAGTTAATTCAAACCCTCCAAGGAAAAGACGAATGGGAATTGTTTCACCTATATCAAATTTTATAAAAAAAATTATTAAAATAATTAAAGTAACCTGCAATTTGTAAAATGTGAATATAACTTACCGCGTACAGGAGCGCCATCCATAATTTCAAATTTAGTAATTGTTTCGCTTTCATTATATTGATTTGGTGCTAAACAATAATTAATGGTTTAGTGTATGATAATTAATCGTCATACGTACTTACATATTGCTAAATACCTGCGCCAGTAGTTTCACGACGAATAATTGACAATTCCATATGTTTAATTTTTATACGAACGAGTAGGAAATAAATTTTGCCTACGATTACATCTTTAAGGTGATATCTAGGAAAAAAAAAAAATGTAATGTTAATTTCTTCTTTCTTTTAATATTAATATATATATTTTTTTTTACATTAAATTTTTCACAACGTCTAAGCACACCTTGACTTATTGTATTCAAATTCAATATGTAGACAATCTTCAATACCAACTTCCATTTTGATAGAACTATTACTATCTGGGGGCATACGATATGAATAAACCCATATATCTTTCTCGTTTACAATATCAGTTATACGCCTTGAAATAGTCACGCGGACGAAATATCTAAAAAGAAAAATACTTAATAAATTACAATAAAGGCATACTTAAAATATAATAATATTCACCTCAATTTAACATTTATTCCGTGGTAACTCTCATATTGTTTTTCGACATTTTTGAATTCGAATTCATAAGAGTGTGGTTGACGCATTTCACCAGGTACTGCCAATTCTTGTACTAAAGAAGTAAATTCGTAATGATTACCTCGATCGTAGAAAAGCTCTAAATATTCCAAATTACATATTATTAAAACGATATTCGAGTAATGATAAAATAATAGATATTTGTAGATAGCTAGATATATATGAAATTACCAATATTTCCTACGAATTCTATTTTAATTCCTTGATGTTCAAGCTTCTTTCCATCGCGAGGTCTGATAGTTACCTTTAATTTTTTTTTAAAAAAAATTGTTTTAATTAAATTAAAAAAAAATCACACACACATTAAAAAGTCTTAGTCACTTTGCCAGTTACGGTTTCTCCATCAAAATATAGGGGAAATTTTTCACGGCGATCTTTATCAACCTTGACCTCTACTAATTTCCTCTGTTCTTCTCCATTAAAACGAATGTCAATATCTGCCGGTGAACTGAAGCTAAAAAGACTCTATAATAATGAAAAGCGATTTAATTTATATAATTCGTCTTAAGATAGTTTTTTAAAAGAAGAAAAGCTTAGAAAAAAATTACAAGCAACCATTGATAAATCCTGGAACGAAATGATTTGTACGTGAATTGGTAAAAACGAGAAAATATTCAAAATCACGATGCTTGCCCGTTTTTGGTCGATTGAGGTTTGATTTGATTGGCTAGATCTGTTGTACGACACAAACAAAAGTATAATTTAAAGAATAGGAATAACGTGGTTACTTACTTTTCGATATTTCCTAGAATCAAATATCTACAATTGTTGAATTAAAATATACATAACTCACGTGATTTTGACTTCATAGAATATACTCGAACTTCCCTTCCTTCTTGTAAAATAACAATATTTCCGCGTATAAACCGTTACAATTTTTGAGCTCAGTAAAATTTAAATGTATGTATTGATTATTTATAAAAGCATCAATAAGTCAAGAATGTACATCTCGATTTTAAAATGAAAAATAAAGATCACAATCGCGATACTTTTCTGTAAAATACAAGAGGTAAATGAAACTTGGGATTTTATTATTGTATGAAAGTTTGATTGGAAAATTTGTTTGTAATTGATTATAATGTACTAACCAAAATATCATATTGCAATGAATTATCATTATTATCATTATTGAAATACAAATATAATAATTTCCTGTATTTTTTAACTAATCAAAATTCGTAAGATTACGTAATCAATCAATAAATAAGTAGATATTCATCTTACGATCGGTGAAATTTTTTTTTTCTCTTTCACAAAAATGAGTGCAACAAAATTAGGCATTTTGCTCGTTCGTACACTAGCGAAACCAATTGCAAATAGTATTAAAGTAATTAAATAAGCTTTGTTTTTAACTTTTTATAAAAGTTTTGTACTCACGTCCTTTGTTTTCTATTAAAAAAAAAAACAAACAAATAAGAATTATAGTAAAAGACATGCAACTTTTCGTCAAATGTGTATTAATGTAGCGCAGGCAACTCATCGGTTTGAAATTAAATTAAAGATGAATTTGTTGAGTCAAAAATCCGAAAAAATTCGCCCTTTAAACGATGCAAAGTAATTTATCATCTTTTTTATTCCTCTTTTTACATAATTTATATTTTTAAATATATATATTTTATATTTTTACAATTAGAGCTGTAGAGATGGGTGCTAATTTTTTAGGCGAGGCAGTTATTTTCGGAGTTGCAAGTTCTTTAATCATATGGGAACAAGCTAGGTATATATTGATTATTAATATTTATATTAATTCTTTAAATTTTATTAACATTTTTTTTTTTATAGATCCTACAAAATTTCCAAAGATCGTCAACATCAATTGAATGAACAAATAGAAAAGTTACAAGAGGAAACGACAGAATTAAAATCTCACATCGAAATAAATCGATCATTTGAGGATCGAATGATGAATCAACTTGAAGAACTGAAAAATGATAATGAAAAATTACGAACCCTCTTAGATAGAATTTTGATAAAAGGATTGGAACCAAGGAAGTCTCAAATTTTAAGATTTCCTGGAATGCAATGGGAAAATAAAGATGATAATAAAAATCCACAAGATCAAAATACTCTTGAAAATAAAACCATTGAAAAGATTGATTCACAAAATTTAAACTCCGCTGATCCGCAGTAATAAATATGACTGTCGCGGAATTATAATTTTCTTTCATATATATCACATGCCAAACGGAAATAATAAAATTCCATCCTGTGCCACAGTTTTAACTGAGTCGATACTTCCTTCCCCTTTAGTAAAACCTAATTCAATTATCCAAGTAAAATGAAATTATGGGATTCTTTCGAGTTTGGAGATCAAGGGACTATGGACGAAACTAGTCCCTTTGACGATTGTTTCAAACTCTCAAAGAAACAACGACTTTATGGTTTTGGAATCTGGTAATTTACCTCGCGTTGCATTTTGTCTCCAAGCTCAATTGTAAAGTTTATTAACGCGTTATACGTTTATCGTGCAAAATAGCTTTGCTCTTGGTTTTATTATAAGTATACTGGTGAGTTTTTTTACTATGAAAGATAATCTTCACTACTTGGTAGCTAAACTAATCTTTTTCTTTTTCCTTTAGTCTACGCTTTCATTATTAACCTCAAACATTACTGGCTTTGCCATTTTGTATACTATTGGAAATGTTATATCTCTCATGAGGTAAAGCTATTTTACAAATAAATTCTTTGAAAAAATATCTGAAACCTCTAATAGATTTTTTTTTTTAAAAAAAAAAAAAAGCACCGGCTTCCTTGTCGGGTTTAAAAAACAAATAAAAACGATGTTTGCCCCAGGTATTTGAATTTTAGAAAAAGATGTATGAATCGAATTAACGTTTATGATTATGATGTAATTAATAAGTTGATCTCTTGTTGAAGTTCGCTGGTTTGCTAGTTTAATTTATCTTGGAACCTTGGTGCTTACATTGGTAGTCGCGTTCACAGTAAGTTATACACCGAAATGTGGTTGTTTTTTTTTTATTGTAATTGTCTAAAGGTACAACAATCTGCCCTTAACGCAGCTGAAAAGTGGAATTCTATGTATTATTTTATGCTTTATTCAATGGTTGGCATTATTTTGGTATTGGCAAGTATTATTATTAAAAAGGGTTTTTCTTTGAAATTTTTTTTTTTTTCCTGTAATTAATTTATATATTTCGACCGATTTTTTTAGTGCTAGTTACATACCCTACGGAAGGTAAATATGTTACTACTAATCATTATTTATAAATAAAAACTAATTAATATATTTTATTATTTAGGACTATCATCAAAAAATTGTTTGGAAGTTGTGTTGATAGTGTGGTATAAAGTTGAGGTGTTTGATCGTTTATTTCAGTCTATCATATTTCCATATTTTAACAGCCGATATTTTTGATTATTTATGATTACAATAATTTATCTCGACATTTTCTATTTTGCAGTGTTCCTTTTCCCCTTTGTTATTGTCAAAAACTTTTATATCCTAATGTAAAAAAAAAAAAAAAATAGTATTCCTTCAATTTTACGTTAATAAATATCCGAATATAACAATGTAGATTTTTTTTTTTAAAAAAAAAAAAAATTCCTGTTAATTTGAAAGCTTCCGCTTCAAAATCTAATCACATGTAAGTGCTTAATCTCTCAGCAACAGCTTTAGCATCAAGCTTTTCATCTCCAAACACATGGATATGCATATTCCGTTTTGTAATTGCCTTAATATCCGGCCTCAAATTTTCCCACTCTTTTAATTGCTGTTTTTCAAATACAATCTGTTTTCTAACATATTCTTTAACAGCATTGAAAAAATCCTGTTCACGATTTTCTTCATATACCCTTAATTCGTTATGAAGATTATTCGTTACACGTTTGACACGTGCGTCAAGATTTTGCTCGTAACCTTTGGCCTTTTTAAAAAATAAAATAAATTAAAATATTTTATAAATAATTTGTCCAAATGAGAAATACTAATTAAATGAATAGAAAGTCTCACATATTCTAATTCTTCTAAGGCTTCATCAACTTTATCAGACTTAATGCTTGTTGAAGACTTTAAACGTTCGATGTAACGTCTTTTGCTTATAGTAGTTTTCACTGATTCGTCATGCTCAGATATAATTCTAAGACGGTTTGTTAACGTTTCCTAAATAAAAATTCGTCAAAAAACATTTCTTTGGATTACATAATATTGTGCTTTTGTCATAAATTGTATCATATACCTTTACTACGTGAGAATTAATGGAATAGTAACTAAAAAAATCACCGAGAGTAGCTACTTCACTAATAGCTTGTAATTTTTGTAGTTCACTAATTATTTGAAGAGTTTTTCCAAATTTTCGTATACCACTAAGAGAAAAAGATCGTAAGTTACAGTTTAAAAAAAAAAATTTGACAATAAATATTTTATTAGTTACTTTGATAAAGGGAGATGCTTTTCAACTGTTCCCAATGCAATAAATTTTATTCCAAGATCGTTATTAAACGTTGCTAAACCTAAAAATTGTAGCTTGAATTTAATAATCATTATACAATGATGATAAAAAAAAAATAATAATAAAATAAATTTTAAATGATAACCTTTACGAAATCTTGCCAATTTTTGGCAAGTTTTAGCACTATCAAGGAAATGTCCTTCTAAAATATGCGCAATCGATTTTGCCTGAGTCAACCCTTTATCCTCATCTATAATATCCGAAGAGAACTTAAGTCTGAACCCACCAGACCTCTTACGTGGTTTAGTAGCTGGGATAAACTAAATAAATAAATAAATTTCTATTATATAAATATATATGCTCCTTGTCAATGTTTTATCCTTCAATATCTTAACTTACAGTAAAATCAGTTTCTATAAATGATCGAAGTTCTTCATCATGACATAAAAAAGGATTCATTGCCACTCGATTAACCCATAGCTGTATTAAATGCTTAACTCTACGTTCATCCTCCTCATTTGCTTGATAACTACTAGATGAAAAAGGTAATGCTGGTACTATACATTCCGGATTAGAATAGGCCAATGCATTGTATAACCTCTCAAATTCTACATATGAACGTTCAACTGAAGCATATGAACTATTTTTATATCGAGGTAAATTCGTCTGAAAGAATAATGATATAATTATTATTCAAATGCTTAAATAAACAAAGTTTGAGGCTCATGCAAAATTTATGTTTCTTACAAAAACTTTAAACTTGAATGCAGGATCGCGACGGTTTTTGTCCAGAGTCGTTATTGAAATACGTAAATAATATCCCTCATCTTGTGGTTGTTGCGATGAGCCATTTTTAAGTTGTTGTCTTGTTCTAGAAACTTTAGCCGACGAATTTTGATGACTCTGAATTGTTTCCTCATTTTTATTTAACACAGGTCCTTGTGGTACTGCCATTAATCTCAAATGACTAAGAGAGAAAATCAATAAAACAATTAATATTTTTTGTTGGCGGTTTCATATTATGATAGATAAACATATGATTGCGTTGTTGTAATGTGTAACCTTATTAAGAAATCGATCAACCAAATTAAGTTATCGAATAAAGGAAATTTTACTAATTAAGGGTTAAATCCCAATGTATAAAAAACATTTACTTTTTATAAAATGATGTAATTGCAAAAGTCACTTTATTTGCACTAATAAATAAATAAATAAATTAAATACTAATATTAACCAAAAAAAAAAAAAAATATTTAATTTTATGAATTTATTGTTATATATACAGTTAATATATCAATATTATTTATAAATTTATATATATTAAATTATATATCATAATATTAGAAATCTTATTATAATAAAACTTCTTAATAATGCAATTTTAATAAATATATAAAACTAGTAATATTTAAATACTTGTAAATATTAAATATTTATTTATAATAAATATTAGAGTTTTATAATTTAATACAATAGCAAAAAATTGCTAGTTTCTAAATTTTATATTTTCATGTTTTAGTAAAGCAACTGACCAATTTACATGGATGATATAATATGATGATCTTTTGATCCAAAATTTTGAAAATACTAAGAATTCTGTGAATTCTGAAAATACAAAGAATTTACGTAATTCTGTTAATTTTTCAAATACTGATGATAATCCTAATTTCATAAATTGAATGAAATCTAGGAATATTTGATTTTACTCTTATTTTTAATATTTTACTTTTTATTATTATTTTTATTATTTACGTATATTTATTATTTTTAATATATTTAGTTTACTTATATTTTATTTATCAAATTAGTTAGTTTATAATGTATTAATTAATTAGCTATAACAAAAGATATTTTGTATAAATAGATAGACTTTTTGCTTATATTTAAATTAATTTTTTTGTAAGTTTGAAAACTCTTTTGCAAATATAAGTATCAGTATTAATAAAAGAATTAATTAAAACTTATATTTTTCTGCTTCTTTGTATCTTTATATAGTTTGATATGATCTCTATATATTCTTTATAATTGAGTTTGTTATCTGAATTCTTTAATTAAATTTGTTCACCTTACTGTCTTTAAGTTTTCATAATTGACAGATTTGTTTAAGTTTAATACGTAAATTTGATAAAATTAAAATTATACAGATTTTAACATTTTAATTATAGTTAATAACTTTGAATAAAACTTAAAAATATAATTAACCTAAGTTGAAGAATTTCATAATGATAATAAGATTTTATGTTTAAATAAATAATGCATATAATACAAATTTTATAATCTAACTATTACAAATCTAATTATTATTATTAATTTTTTTTGATATATTAAATTATTATAATATTTAATCCTAATTACTAAAGCTCAGAATATATTAGATTAATATTATATAAATTAAATTATCTGACTAAGAAAAATCAAATCAAATTAAATAAAAATCTGATTTAACTTAAATTTATTTAAACTGATCTAATCTAATTATTATGTGATTTAATTAAATTTAACAAATTAATTTAACCTGATCTGACTCAATCTGATTTAAATAAAAAATTTTTGTATTTTACTAATTAAATATTATTAAATATTATTAATTATAAAGAATAATATAATAAATAATTATTAATGTATTTAACTAATTTTTATTACAATAAAATTTTTTAATTAAATAATTTATTAATATTTAATTAAAATAATCTGTTATCATTTTAATTAAATAATTTGTTATTATTTAAGAATTAAAATAATCTATTATTATTCTTTTTAAATAATTTATTATTATTCTAATTAAATGATTTATTATTGTTTAATTAGAATAATCTATTATTATTTTTTTAAAAAATTTATTATCATTTTAATTAAACATTTAATTATCATTCAAGAAAAATTATTTATTATTATTCAATTAGAATATTTTGTTATTTTTCTTTTAACTGATTTATCATCATTTTAATTAAATTAATTATTATCATTCAAAAAAAACTTAAATTTTGTTAAGATAGATCAAGTAATAAATTAACTTAATCTAAAAATTCACTAACTTTATCTGAATTTTTCAGGTAAATCAGATTAGATAACAGATCAATCTAATCAGATTTAAAGTTATATTCATTATATTAAAAAATTAAAATCTATAAATTTTTTATGATTTTAAAATATTTGATAATAGACAATATTCATTTTATTTTTAAGAATTTTTAATATATTAATATACTTATTCATATTTTAATAATATTTTAATCTGTATATTTTCATAAATTACTTTTTTAACTTTTATTTACTTATTTTATTTTATTTAAAATTTATAACGATATTTTAAAAGATTATAAATTAGTTTAACTTATTTTGATAAAATTTTGTTTTATTATAAAAATGTTTTATATAATTCTTATTAATATTAAAAACTATTTAAGTTTTAATAAAATTTCTAATTATTAAATTCTTTACTAATTTTATTAAATTATTAAGATTATCAATTTCTTATTTTTTTAATTTTAATTTAAAAAATGAAAAAACTATTAAGGCTAATTTAATATGATTTATGATGTCACTGTAGAATTCTTTAACTTGAGATGGTCACATTATCAAGTTTCTACTTAAAATTTCTAACTGCGATCTACTGTGATCAAAATGTTAGGATTCACCTAACTCTTAACTCACACGTTAGACTTAAACAAATCTATCAAGTATGAAAACTTAAAAGACAAGATTATGAATAATTTAATTAAAGAATTCTGATGATGAACTCAATTACAAATAATGTGTAGGGATCACTACAGACTATATGAAAACATAAAGAGGCAAAAAGATATAAGTTTTAAATGATTCTTTTATTAATATTGAAACTCGTATTCGCAAGAGAGTTTATAAATCTGTAAAAGAGTTAATTTACAACATAAGCAAAAAGTCTATCTATTTATACAAAATTTTTTTTGTCACGACTAATTAATTATTATGCTATAAACTAACTAAT